GTAAACACCATTTATACATAAAGGCATTATATACTATATTATAGCTACTATTCAATTTTAGTAAAGATATTTAATGGAAAACTAATGTCAAATTCTAAAAATATTAAGTTATTTCTTGATAGATTATAGAGTATTTTTCTGGTCAATCATTCAGTTAAACAATATTTATCTATCATTCACTACTTGCTAAGCACCATACTAAGGAACTGGAGCTAGAGCAGTGAACAAAACAAAATCCTTCTCCTTTCCAGTTGGAAGAAACAGACACACATACACACTCACAAACACACACACATCTGGTGGTGATAAGTGCCATGAAGATAGATAAAGTAGAATAAGGGGCACAAGTAATGCTGAAAGTAAATGTGTGGCGAGCCTTTTTATATAGTGATGTTTAGGCCTCACTGAAAAGGTGACATCTGAGGAGAGAGCTGAAGGAAAACCAAAATCAAACCCAATGCCATCAAGTCGGCTACTATTCACAGTGACGCTTTAGGACAGAGTAGAACTGACCCATTGGGTTTCCAATGCTATAAATCTTTAAAGAAGCAGATCCCCTCATCTTTGTCCTATTGATGGTAGGTTTGAACCAACAACCTTCTGGATAACAGCAAAGTGCTTTAATCACCATTCTACCAGGCCTCTTAGGATGTGATAAGTCTACAGTTATCTGGTGGAAGGCTCTCTAAATGGAGGAAATGAATGCAAAGGTCCCAAGGTAGGAGCTTGTTAGATGAGGTTGATAAAACAGCAGAAGACGGAACTTGGTTTGAGTGAGTATAGGAGAGAAGAAGGATGAGGAGTTTCAGAGAGAGGGTGGTGAGGAAGGATGAGTGGACAATAGAGCTTAAAGGGTAACAGGAGACCACTACTCTGAATGACAAAATAAGCCACTGGAGGGTTTTAAGCAAAGGAGTTACATGATTATAGTAAGACCATTTTGTCTGCTGTGCTGAAAATAGGCTGTAAAGAGCAAGGACAGAACCCTAGAGACTAGTTAGGAGGCTGCTGTTGTTGTTAGGTGCTGTCAAATCAGTTCTGACTTATAGTAACCCCATGGACAACAGGACAAAACACTGCCCAGTCTTGTCCTAGCCTCACAATTTTTGGTATGTCTGAACCCACTGTTGCAGCCACTTTGTCAATCCATCTTGTTGAAGGTTAAGAAGCTACTGCAATCAGCTTAGTAAGAGATGATGGCAGCTTTGACCAGGGTGGGACTCTTTCCAAGGAAGATCTAAAAGGTTTTACTGGTAGACTGGAGACAAAATTGAGAGGACACGCATGAAAGATGACTTCAAGATTTCTGGTCAAGCCACTGGAAAGATGCGAGAAAGCCAAGCAGAATGCATGCTTCTTTGAGGTCAGGGGTGTATCAGGAGTTTAGGCATGCAAGTTTGAGATGCCTGTTAGAATTCATGAGGGAAGGGGAGCTGGCAGATGGATATGCATGCCTGGGAGTCATCTGGGAGTCATCACCAAAAAGGTAGCAAGAGAAGAACATCTATCTGGAGAGTGAAATGAAAAGGGATCCTAGGACACAGCCCCAGGGCATGGCACTTAGGCAATGGGGAGATGAGAAGGAACCAGCAAAAGGGACTGAGAAAGAAGAGCTAGTGTATTCTAGCGTAGAGTTCAACTAGAAATGGTACACGCTCCAGATACACAGCATCTTATTTCCATTTTCTGGGCTTTCTTCTCTATGAACATGGAAATTTAAAGAACTGCTAAGCATAAGTCCATCATCAACTATCACAATTTAATGGAGTAAAACATCCTCTTAAAGAATAAAATCCAACATTACTATAGTAAGCCAGAAAATACAAATTAAGACAATAAACTATCATCCACCAAACTAATCAACTGTTTAAATTCTGACAATATTAGGGACAGCTAAGGATGTGAGGAAATGGACAGTCACCTCTGGTGAACAATTTAAAGATAAAATGAATTTTCTAGGTCTATCCTGGTATAGTGCCTAAGGCATCTGACTGCTAACCAGAAGGTTGGCAGTTGAAACCTATCAGCCACACTGCAGAAGGAAGACTGAACAATCTACTTCCATAAATATTTAATGCCTCAGAAATCCAAAGGGAGTCGCTATGAGTTGTAATCGATTTGATGGCAATGAGTTTGGTTTTGTGGTTTATACGTACAAAGTAGTACCATTAGGTAAATTTAAAATGAAAACACAAACAAAATGACATACTATTCATATATGTCCTCAGAAGGAAGGTTGGACAACCTACTTCTGTAGTGATAAAACCTTGGAAATCCAAGGAAGGGTTGCTATGAGTAGCGGCCAACTCAACGGCACATAACAACAACAATACAACATTCATATGTTAAACAGGTTGCAAGAAAATACTCTAAACTACAGTTACTGTTTGGCTCTGGGTAGGGATGGGAAAGTGACTGATAATGGCAGGTAAGGTACATAGCCCTGAATGTATATTTTATTAGATTGGGGCAGGGCGGGGGGGCACTGAATTTATAGAAAGGACTTGAAACAAACATGTTTATAATCATCAACTCTAGTGAGGAATAAATGAGTACACGTAATACAAATCTTCATAATCTTTTTGAATTTGAAAAAAAATCTCAAAATAATTTTTAAAAGAAAAAATATAATGAAAGAAAAATAAGATTACCTGTTTATAACAACAGATGTTATTACATGTAAGCTGATAGCAAAGCAAAAGGAGACACATACTTTATTAATATATCTATAAAGAATATTAGACCTCTGGTGGTGTAGTGCCTAAGGCATTTGTCTGCTAACCAGAAGGCTGGCAGTTCAAACTCACCAGCCACTCCTCAGAAGGAAGGCTGGGCAATCTATACTTCCATAGAGATACCACCTCAGAAATCCAAGAAGGGGTTGCTATGAGTCAGATGCGACTCGATGGCAGTGTGTTGCATTTGTTTAGTATGGCATAGCATGTGGCAAAATCCACATATATTACATTTACTGCTTGATAAGAAGCATGAGGAAATTTTAAAAATTGTCTGAAAGACAAACTGGTTAAAATAAAAATAACTCCCTAGTTTTATCAGAAGATCTAATCTAAGTAGTGAATTAAACTATTAAATTTGAGTTATAATCTAAGATCTGTTTCAACCACTTTTTGGGTAAGATAAAAAATACATCAACCTTTCAGGTAGCAGCCCAGCACTTAACCATTTACATCACCCTGGGATTCTCTGCCTTTTCTAGTCAATAGGTAATAAATATTCTTGTTGAAACTGTTACACATTTTTCCTAGCCTTTTTCCCTCTGAATTATTAATAGTAATAAAGCAAAATACATACAAGACTTTTTCACTTATAGTAATTAATTTATCACATACTAAGAGCAGAAAATAAATTGAATAAATTGTTTATATCAGAAATGAATTACAGTTAAATTAGGTTTATTAAATGTCTTTAAACAAAGACACTGACACAAAATATAATTTCTAAGAACTCAAAAATAATTTTTTATAAATATATTTCTAGGACAAAAAAATTACACTTATTAGGGTAAGAACGTACTTTTAAAACCTGATACTGCCCTCCGTAATATGTATCAAAGCATCAGAGTGTTTATAAAACAAAAATAAAGTTCTTTATTTTCCTGAATTTGCTGTTAAGATGTGACTATTTCTTTTCCTTTTAAGAATATATGTTTATTTCCAAAAAAGAAAGGCAGTCCTTTCTTTGTGCTTAAAATACTGAATCACATCAATTGTACCACTTACAATGTGAGTCACTTCCCTTTTATATTTAGAAGGAAATTCAGTCTGATTCATTGATTTGTTACTGGTGTGTCAGGTGGGATGAAATGCATTCGATTTTTGACTCCTGTTTTTAATGATATCCTCACCTTTTTCGCTTTGGAATTTTTTCTACACTAAAATAATGTTCATCAAGTAAAGCATAGTAGGTAAACATTTAAATTAGGTTTTTTTTTTTTTATTGTTAAGGAGTAGGGCATTCCTGCACCCCCTTTCAAAAAAGCTCTTTCATTGATAAATCTTTGAGTTTACAATAAATCCTTGGAAAAAAGATATTTCCATTCTCTGATTAGTAAGAACAAATAAACATGTTTGTTTTCTCTCAAAATTAGTTAGAGACAAATACTTGTATTTGTTCAGTTAATGCTGTTTGGAAAAAAAAAAAAAAAAGAAAAAAACCTAACATTTTCAAAATAAAAAATGTATGGGGGAAGCAAACAAATGCTTCATTCCACAAGTACTGACGGAGCAGCTGCCACTTGCAAGGTGGTGTGCTGTCTGCAGGGGTGAAGCAGTGAGGACTCAGTTACAGATTCTCTCTACGGTATGCTTAAGACTCTCAGTGGGCAGGTCAGGAAAGCAAGCAAATACTCATCAAATAAGGTCGAAAGAGATTTAATACCTCCAGGGAGGAAAATCTAAAATAGTACAGGAGTTCATAGAAGGGAAAAGGTGCTTCCAGCAAATGGAGTGGGAAGGGAAAATCAGAGAAGGCTTCAAGACAGTGGACGTGAGATAGGTCTTTAAGGGCGGGCAAGATGTGGACCAGTGCAGACTGGGAGCCAAGTCTGCATGGGGAGTGAGGGGAAGGAACTAAGGGGCCACTGTCTAAGGCTAGGGAGCCAGAGCAGTGCCACTTCCCAGCAAATTCAAGCATCAACATAGAAAATAGAACTGAACAAGAAATAAGAGGGAAGAAAGAAGGCATCGGATTGCAAAGGACTTTGGGAATGTATAGTCAAGTGGTTCACACATTATTTGGTTGGCAAATGAAAGATTTTCAGCAGGAGGAGTAGGACCAGATACATGCCTCAGGAAGGTTAATTTAACATTAGTGGGATAGATGGATAGATGGGAAAATTGATTAGAAATCTAGTGTAGAGTAATGAGAATAGAAACTAGGCAGTATCAATGGAAATAGAATGAAGAGTATGGATGCAAAAAAAAAAAAAAAAATAGTACACTGTAAACAGTATTTATGAAAAATATGGAATAAAGCCTTACCTGATTCTTCTGTATCTTGTTCATCTATTAAACCTACTGAGACGCCTAAATCCACACATTTCTTGCTATGTGCCTTGGACTTCATGTGTTTTGTCAGATTTCCTTAAGGGAAAAGAATGTTTACTAAGCTTACATAATATTATATTATGTCAACACTGGCAAATTCCATTCCTATTTCAAGCAAAAAAATAAAAATGAAAAAAAAAACAGACTGTACTTACACAATTCCAATGACGAAAATTCCAACAAAAGAAATAATATCTCAATGCTCTTAACAATCTTTTTATTAATGCTATTTTATCTTTCAAATCTTGCCCCCTCTACTACGATAAATGTCTACTTTTGCCTTATGATTTTTATTCTTTATTCTTTATTCTTTATTTACTTCTTAGGAATTTTATGTATACTTAAGTTCTTTTCAGATTGCACTGTAATCTGTAATTCCTGCACTACGAATTCTCCATTTGTTACAGCTGCTGGCTCTCTCTCATAGTAGTATGCTTTCTTGCATGTTTTTAAATTTTTAAGTTTATCTCTAATAAGACTGTTTTCCATGGAGTTTCAATGGGTTGCAAAAACATCTCTACAGGGCAGTTATCAATTCCTTCTGCCTGAGACCTTGAAGGTTTCAGACTACTGATTCTGGACAAGATTTTTGTATGGCATAAGTATACCACTTTGCTTTTTAGCATATTAACTTTTTCCCACATGGTCCAAGGTCACTGGATAGGAGATCCAGGCTCATTGCAGGGGATGCAAACTCTATCCCAGGACAGACATAAAAACTCGAGACTATTATTCTCATGTGGACTTTTTTTGTTTTTTGATTACCTGCTCACCATGCTGAACTTTGTTTCATCTTATTTCTGACACCTGGGAATTTATCTTTCTTAATTTTGAGCCTGGTAATCCATTAAAAAATTATTTCTGGTTGTTGTTATATTAGAAACTGTATTTCTGTGTGTTTGGGATAGAAGGAAGAATTTTCTGCACTGATATTAGTTCACCATATTGACTATGAGTCTCATAATAGTATCTCTAAAAGTGTGTTTCATCTGGAAGCTGGTCTGTCTATCTCTACAAGTATCAGTAGGTTAACTGGGAAATAATGGACGAGCTTTCCTGAGGTGATTATGAATGCCAAGGGAGAGCTCAGGTTCTTCTGAGGATGCCAGGCAGCTTGAGTGGATAATACTGATAAGGGCAAATTATTTTTTTAGGAAGACAAATAAATAAAATCTAAACACATAGTAAGATAGGCAGTGAGAAATTAGTATTTGAGGATAAGCTAGAAGAACTAAAGAATCTCTTAGTCATTCATTGGTCCAGATTTGAGGCTGAAGGATCTTGTAAAATGGCTATATTTATAAAGCCTCAAATCTATAAAAATGCACTTAGTGGAACCAGTCACGTTTGTTCCAGGTGGTTACTATAAAAGACAGTAGGTTCTAGAGTGAGGCAACTGCACAGCATCCTGGAGATGGTGCTTAAGGAACTGAAGTGTAAATAGGTGGCTGGCCCAGACAATGTCTAAGATCCATCAAACTCTGACTTCTGTGATTCTGAAGAGAACACCTGACTTAACAGGGCTGGCTATATCTGAATTTACTTTATATGTACTTAAATAAAATATGAAAAAACAACAATTACTGAAAGATGATGGGCATGTTTGGGTGATGGGATACATACAAATCTTTTTTGTATGCTTCAAAAGTTTTATATTAAAAAATTGCAAAAATACCTTGGCCACCTTAACATGGCTGAAATTTTCATCCGTAAATTCAAATGTCTGCACTATGGTAACAATATTATGAATCAAATTACAAGTCCCACCAATAGTTCTTTTTCAAAATGCTTTGTTCCCTATGTAGACAAGTACAATAGCAGGTTGTTTCCTAAGAAGTTTATATATAATTTTAAGTAGGCAAATTTGGTAATATCAGTTTTTAATAAACATACTCTCATAACTTGAACCATTGATTATCAACTTTCTAAATAATTTAACAGAAACAAAATCATTTTCATTTCAAATATGCAAAATGGGCTTATCTGAAAAATGTAAATATTGCCTAGAAATGCTATAAACTTTGTATACTAGCAGATGGATTTTTACATATATTTAATAAACATTCATCTAAATCCTCTGGATAGCATTTGATAGGTTTTGTTTGTGGATTCCTATAGGTATGTGTATTATGTCTAGCTTTCTGTGCTAAAAATGGTATTATATCCTGCAGAGATGCAAGCTCACTCAGTATTTTCTGTTGACTGACCTTCAAAGCAGAATAATGTGACCAGAAAGTCAATAAAAATTACTTTGAAAACATACACTAAGGGAACAAATGATGACATATAGACTCAGAGGCATTACCATCAGAAGCATAAATTTCTAGTAATACACATCATTTTTTTGATAGTATTTTGAAGACTTTGCATACCATATTTATATAACATGCCAATATATCACTAGTTTCTTCTGTTGATAAACAGACACATTCTTAAGATAGAGCTGGACTGGCTAGGAAAACAAAATAAATCAGAGCAAGGCAAAATTTATAGCCTAACCTAAAAGCAGGCCTATTACTTTTTAGCTACCTTTTTTAAAAGGTATTAGGGAACCCATGTTACACATATTCACAAAGGCAGACTTCTAAAATGAAGGTGACAATCATCGGGACCAATATAGGAAAAGAATGCAGTTTCTAGTATTTTCTTCACCAGTCTCATTAGCTAAATCATAAATATTTATCACATAATCGCACATGAATTATCTGACGAACAAAAAATTTAGTGTAAATTAAGATATGCAATATATTACAGAAATGTTAAGACATGAAAACTGCTCATGCATAATTCAATGGCAATAGGTTTTTTTTCCCCTTTCATTTGGTCAACAATTTAATAAACATTTATCTAAAATTTTACATGATATTGTTTTGAGTTACTCCACTAACATACTACTTGGTGAGTCATAATATTTTCTCCTTGCCAAGATATCTCTGTAGTTGCATTTCTTTTCCCACTTTTGGGTTTTCCTTCTGTTCTTACCCTTATATTATGAACACTATTTAAAATACATCCTGCTTTCTTTTCCTCTACTATACCTTGATCTTCTTACACTGTCATCATTCTACACTTGGTGATCTTTCATTAGTAATACCGGCATCTTAAAATGCTGCTGTTTTTATATCGGTAATTCAAAGAATTTTATACCATCAAAACTCTCACTGGAGATCAGGAAAATCATTTTGAAATCTACCCTCCATCTCTGGAAGGAGATTCTACGTCACAGTCAAAGAACTGCATAATCAGTATTCCTCCCAACCCCTTGTGATTTCTTGTAAGTTTCTGGAGCAGTCAAGGCTATCTCAGGAAGAATAGTTTGTTTTTCCATCATTCTTGTTTCAGTTACTATGAGCATTTAAAGAGAACTAATCTGAAGCTATTTAGTTACTATATAATTCTTTAAATGCCAGTGAAAATCAAAAACATGTTAAATAACTAGACAAAAAAGTAATATATTTTGCTAAAAGCTGATCAATCTTTAAAACAAAAATTGCAAAGATGGAAAATGTAATTCTAAAAATGTAATGTTAATTCAAAAAGGATAAAAATTAAAAAGTTCTGTCAAAAAACAATCGATGAAATACTTTTTTACTGATAACCCATTCAGACAAATGATTTTATTATTATATTGCTATGTTTTAGATTCTTACTCTTTTAAGAGTAGCATATGAAACTAACATCCCAGGTGACAAACTGTTGCGGTATCACCTATGAATAAGGAGTCTAATGGATAAAGCAAACATTTTCTAGAAGCATAGCTTATTAAATGGACAGTAAATGTGTAGAGGATAAAATTTCCTTAACTATAATAAAGGCTTACAAGTTAAAGAAAAATATATAAAGAAAACAGAAAGAACACTAACTATAATTTTTATTGACTGGTTCTGAATTATCTTTTTAAAATATTAAACAGAAAACTTAGAAAATTTTTGAAGCTGGAATTAAGTTACACTTGGGTGAAAAGATGCATCATGGAAAAAAAATGGCTATACATCCCTAAAAGTAGATAAAAAAACAAAACATAAGTATACAATCATTATAAAAGTTCACTATGGTTATTACTTTAATTCTTCAATTTTCAGTACCCAAATGAATTTATTTATGATTATAAAATTTTCTTTTTCCGCCTTAGCCCCAAAGTATTTTTGAAAATGTATTAGTCATCATGTTACGCAACTATAATTTGGGAAGTGAAAGGGGGGGGCAGTTCTTCCTTTTAAAATGTTACAATTATATTCCAAAAGTGTGTAATCAGACACCTTCTTTCAAGGGTCTAGAAACATAAAGAGTGAGAGACTACAATGTTGACAAGATGCAATTTCTATTAGTCTATTTAAGATACCATATCTTTGGTCAAATAATACCCAAAGTTGGGTTTAGCTCTACCAACCAAATGCATAGAAAGGACTGGGAAGCAATGTGCATCTCATACCTTTAGTCTTAAAGGAGAAGTTACAGTAAGTGCAGTGGTAGGGGCGGACATCAGTATGGGTTCGTATGTGTTTCTTTAACATGCTAGGTTTCTTACAACGTATTCCACATTCTTCACAAATGTACTTTCCTCTTCCCCTGCCTCGGACATATACATACTCTTCATTTGATTTATATCTAATTTAAAGAAAAAGATTAAATTTGAGATTTAATAGTGGGGATGGAATAATATGTCCTTGAGAAAATATTGATGATTAAAATTCAACCTAAAAAAATAAAACATGACATAACTTTTATATTCAAGCAATAAAAATTTGATGCATGTGTAACAATATTCTAGCTTTTCAAATCAACATTCTATATTCTAATTGCTAATTCTAATCAATCTTATTCAGTGCTATTTTTAATGAAAAATTATCTCCTCTTTCTATATAACTGGGTTAAAAGTTTTCTTTATTGCTAAATTAAATTACAACTATCAGTATTGAAATATTTCTGAGCTTAACTATAGCTAAAATTGGCAACAATGTTTTTTCTCATAGCAAAATACACAGACATCAAATAGTCAAAGAATTCATCTCTCTCAGAAAAGATTTTCAAAGTCCTTTTGTACTGTCAATTGCTGTGAAACCCAAGGTTCCTCTAAAAATGTAATTTTCAGTCTGAGCTGCCTCCAGGGCCCTACAATGTTTCCTAAATAGCCATTATTTTTTCCATCAAAATAGAATTCTTCAACATAATGCTAAAACATATTCTGACTTGTTGTCATTGTTATTGTTAAGTGCTGGCAAGACGATTTGACTCATGGCCGTTCCATGCAACAGAGTAGAACTGCCCCATAGGGTTTCTAGGCTGTCATCTTTACAGAAGCAGATCACCAGATCTTTCACCCATGACCACTGGGTAGGTTCCAACCACCAGCCATCCAGTTAGCAGACGAGAGCCTTAACCACTGCATGACCAGGGCTCGCACCTTACTTTGCCATGAAAATTCTGTGACTAAGCTGAGAAACCTCGTAACATTTATATAAAATTGGCACTGGAAAGTCTTCATTTACACAAAAGCAAATGTACATTTAAAAAGTAACTTTAAATGTACATTTAAGAAGTAAAATTTGTACTTGCCCTCCATCAAATATTTTAATTCTTCTTGGTTCACTTTTGATTAAGGAATTTTCTTTATCTTGCTCACTGTTAATTTCAGAGGCATCTTTATTGCTGAATTCACCTACTGTGGACTTTTGATTACCTAATGCTCTCTGAAAGGAGAAAAACAAACAAACAGAGAAACTAATTTAATAAAACTGAAACCACAAACATGCTTATGTTTCATTGGAAATTAAAAGAAGGCAGTGTTGTGTATACAATTACTTAATGAAATGTATTTCAAAGTAACAGGTTTACCAACCATGTTTTCTCTTCTCTCTTTGACATATCTAATCTATCTAAATGGCAAACTGATCAACTCTATGCTATTTTAAAATTCATCATATTCCACTGATCCCTCCAAAAAAGGCTTTACAACCTCTCATCTTGGTTTTCCATAGAGTTTAAGAGGAACTTTTAAAATCAACTAAATATTATTTCTTATATCTAATCAACCACTCATTGCTGTGAAAATATGTCTCTTACAGAGTTTATTCTTTGAAGATAGAGAAGCACTCGTTACTCCTTTTGGTATAATGTTTTTCATACCCCTGAGAAATCTGACTAAATCTCCTTCAATTTAAATGCACTATACAGTTTAATCAAAAGTCTCATTTCCCATTATTTTATCCCCCTCCATTCCCTCCTTCATTTTAAACCGTTTCCTCTCTATATTTTCTCAAAAAAAAAAAAAAAAAAACCAGTTGCCATTGACTTGACTCCGATTCATGGAGACCCAATGTGTGCCAGACCAGAACTGAGCTCCACAGGGTTTTCAAAGCTGTGACCTTTCAGAAGATCACCAGGCCTGTCTTCTGAGGTGCTACCTGCTTCTGACTTGAATCTCCCACCTTTCGGTTAGTAGTTGAGCACTTAACCACCTCGATCACCCAGGGGCTCCTATTTTCTCACAAGTTCCCATATACTGATAAATCCTAGATCCAAGTCAAGCCAAACCTGACTTCTGATCTGCTAATTAAATCTCTAGAAAATGGTAATAAACATCACAATGATAAGTAATATGTGCTTTTCTTACAGAAATATTATAATACTACCTTACAATTTTAAACAACTGCACAGTTAATAATGTATTTTCTCATTCATCTTTCCATTTAATTCTCCTATGTGGCCTTGGGAGCTCTGGTAGCATAGTGCCTAAGGCACTTGACTGCTCACCAGAAGGCTGGTGGTTCAAACCCACGAGCCACTCCTCGGAAGGAAGGTTGGGCAATCCTACTTCCGTAGTGATACTGCCTCGGAAACCCAAGGAGGGGTCGCTATGAGTCGGGGCCGACTCGACGGCAAACAACAACAACAATGTGGCTTATATTCCAGTAAGGAAGCACACTCCCAGGCTAAGTTATTGGCCAAAAGGCAAATGTTAACAGCAAAGGCTCAAACTCCAGCTCTCTGTTGAGTCTAACATAAGACAAAACTCTCCTGATCAAGAACTTCTTTTATACAAAACCAACATCAAAGTCACTGCCAGAGTCGATTCCAACTCATAGTCAGCTCTGCTGGGTTTCCAAGGCTGTAAATCTTTATGGAAGCAGACTGCAGGTGTTCCTTCACAGAGCCGCTGGTGGGCTTATGCCTTATCCACTACACCGCCAGAGCTCCTTTCTTTTATACAAAGTTCTTTTTTTTTTCCATAGATTGCCAAACAGACAACTATCTTATTCAGATGACTTAATAACATAGCAAGGGATGAGAGAGTGTGGGTATTATGAGGCGAGGGACTATGTAGCTTAGAAAGGACAACCCGGAACAAGCCCCAGTCCTTACTTACAAAGACAGGAGGAAAGAAAAGCTGGCTGGCCCACGTTCCCCAAAAAGATGGTGTGAAAAGGAACAACACTGATGTCTACAGGAGGAAAAAAATGCAACCTTTCCCTTTTTCTTCCCTAGCAAACAGATCAGTCTTTCCGACATTTTGGAATATATGCACACACCTTTCCATGACTTTATCCATTTCATAACCCTCTTTCTCACTTTCTTTTCAATATTAAATTTCTATCTGTTTACTTTCTTACTACCCAATTTCCTTGGTAGCTTCCTATTATCTGGCTTCTACTCCCCTGCTTGGCCCTTTATGGCACTGCATGCAATTGATGACTTGCTTCTCTTAGACACATTTTTCCTTTAGTTCCTATTTCTTTTTTTCCATTTGTGTTATGGACAGATACATTAATGTTTGGAGTGGGGTATAAAAGTCAGTCCCGTACCCAATCCTCCACAGCCACTTACCCACAGACTCCAGTCTCCAGAGATATTAACCTGTGGCCATTGAGTGGATTCTGATTCCCGGAGACACCATGTGTGTCAGAGGAGAACTGTGCTCCATAGGCTTTTCAATGCCTGCTGTTCTGAGGTAGATCTCTAGACCTTTCTTCTGAGGTGGCTCTGGGTAGATTCGAACCTCCAACCTTTCAGTTAGCATCTGAGAGTGTTAACCATTTGCACCACCCAGCGACTCCTTAGTGTTTACTGGAGCAGCTCAACCAAAGACTCCGGTTAGCTCTCATCATTATTTGACCTCTCCTTTCTTGATTTCCATGATACCACTCTTTCCTGCTTTTCCTTCTTTCTCTGTGAATAATCTCATGCAGTTTCCTATTTTCTTCATTAATTCAACCTTTTAAATACTAGCAGTCTCCTGGGATTGTTTCTAGGCCCTCTTATCTTTTGCTGCTTTCCACTCTCCCTGAGAAACCTCATGAATTCCACTTATGCACCGAACAATCTTTACACTAAGCCTTCCACCTGGGTTTTCTCCTGAGATCCACATCTAGCTATGCATTTTTCAGACACTTCCACCAAAGCACTTGGTACTTTAGGATAATTACTTTTCATAGGCATTTCAGGAATATACATAACACTTTGCTAAAATACTCATGATAATGCCCAATCTTCTAAGATTCTGACTTAGTAAACTGAAGTCTGGGCATTAAAAAAATAAGATCCACAAAAAGTTTGGATATACCACTTGGAAGGGATGTAGGAGATCCTGCATAAAGAGGGAGAACAATGTGGTACAAAACTCAAAATCATTTGGAGGCAAAAAAAAAAAAAAAGAAGAAGGTGGGGACCAGGTTTGCTGGTCCAATAGAGCCTGGTGTAACCACTGAGACTATGGCCCCTAGCTGCCCTTCAGGTCTGGAATTGAACCCACAACTGTGGTTTCCAGCCAAACAAAGTACAGGCATGTGAGTTAAATATTTACCTCAAGTAGACACACGCCCTGGAGAGAACAATCATGGGAGAAGGAAGGGCTGCTATGCACAGGGAGATAGCTCAGGGTGCAGAGGAGTATGAAGGGATGGACACTGGGAGGAGGTAACTATGGGGAGGAAGTGGGAGGGGAGCTGCTGCATTGTAAATTTTGGTCAATGACATGAGACAAAGTATATGTGAACTGCTGTATAAAAAGTGAATTTACTCTGTAAATCTTCACCCAAATCCTAATTAAAAAAAAAAAAAAAAAAGTTTGGATATACCACTTCAGTGAGAAACTAGGAATGGCTTCCCACCAACAAGTATATGCTTTAGTCCTTAACCTACTTACCAACATCAAAGTATGTTACTGTTCCAAATTCTAACACTCTCTAGCCATTTGGGGTTCTTCTTAGTTCTTTTAATTAACCAAGTTCTTTCTTGCTTGCATGTCATTTAACAGACTGCTAACATCTCTCATGTTTATTTGCCTGAAAAATCCCTAGTTGATTTTTTTTTTTTTTTAAGACTCAGCTGAAGCATCACCTCCTTTGGAGTATCTCCCTTGTATCTGTATTTCCACAACGTATCAGCAATAGCAGAGACTTACTTGTTTTAGAAGTTGTACTTATTTCTATTGTAATACTGATATTGGGGAGCTCTGGTAGCATAGTGCCTAAGGTTCAAACCCACCAGCTACTCTTTGGAAGGCTCAGCTGAAACATCACCTCCTTTGGAGTATCTCCCTTGTATCTGTATTTCCACAACGTATCAGCAATAGCAGAGACTTACTTGTTTTAGAAGTTGTACTTATTTCTATTGTAATACTGATATTGGGGAGCTCTGGTAGCATAGTGCCTAAGGTTCAAACCCACCAGCTACTCTTTGGAAGGCTCAGCTGAAACATCACCTCCTTTGGAGTATCTCCCTTGTATCTGTATTTCCACAACGTGGCAGCAATAATGGAAATTTATTTGTTTTAGAAGTTGTACTTATTTTTATTATAATATTGATACTGTGATAGCTTCTTACTGAAATATAAGTGTATGCTTATAAACCTGTATTATATGCTTGTGAACCTGTAGAAGTCAAGGACTTAAATCTGTAATTCCAAATGCCCAGATTCCAGTAAGATAACCTTACTTACTTTATTTTTAATTGCTTAAATAATTTTTCTTCATTTTATAAAGCTAACAACTCTAATGAGACTAGTTCCACAAATTACACAAAATTAAAGTTTCATGACCTTAAATTATAAGCCTAGTACAAATCAACTTAGCTATCAAGTGTACAAGTTGGCTATTAAGCAAATCTTCCCATTAATATTCAGAAGATTCTCAGAGCTATTTGGAAGAGAGGGGAGATCAACAAGGGGTGGGGAGAGAGTGGGCAGGTCTTATCTGGGTCAGGTGATAATGATCAGGGATGAAAGTGTCATCCTAAGACAAGGACAACTGACTCTCCACTTACATTTCAAAATGAAATATACTGATCTTTGATTATCCATACTTCTCTTTCCCTGCATGAGCAGAGCAAAACATAAACAATCTCTTCTCACTTAACAACAAAATCTTAGCATTGGAGAAAGAGCAAAGTAAAATTATGATTATCTGTACCATTAAGTAAAGACTTAAATATGGAGCTGAGAAAAAAAGAAAAAGTGTTCAAGGGAAGCTATCAATTTGAAAACATTTCAAGATACAACCACTGAAAGGACTCCAGGTAACCCTTATCAGTGCAACTCTTGGAGTAAGCATACCATTCTTTCTCTCAAATAACTAAACACATCAAGCACAATTTACCATTCAAAACTAAAACACGTTATTTCCAATTAAAATATTTAAAAGGTATCAAAACATGTTAAAATTAATTCATACAAACTATATCTGAAGGTACACTATATTTAATTACCTTGCTTAAGCTGCTTTTCCACTTGCTGGAGTAGACCAATAGATCTAATTTGGAATGAGTAGCTATTGCTTGACAATAAAGTGACTTCCCAGTCTTCTGTTTTGAATTAAGGAGAGAAAGAGCAACTTTTGTGGGCAAACCAAGTGGATTTGGATTACTGGCGCTTACTGTCCAGTCAGTATACGCTGAAGTCTTCTGGTCATTCTGAGGCAAATGCAGTGACTTCTGTCTTAGTAGATAACACCACGTAAAACTCGTTGTGGTCTTACTAGGAAACGACCGTGGTTGCGTATCTCCTGCACTCAATACTGAAAGAGTGCTTGCTGATTTAATTTCTTGGATGTTGCCATCTTGAATCTTAATCATTGGTGGCGACTTTCTTTCCTGGTTATTGTCTATACTCTTCAAAGGAGAAATGTGAGTGTTTTCTGAAGGGACCGGTGAATTTCTAACTGTAAGAGTTAGCGATATGGAAGACTTGATGTTTTCAAATTCTTGCAATTCACTTACAGGTTCTGTAACTCCAGACTTAGAAAGGACTGATGGAGAACTATCAGTTGGTAAAATATTAGTCAAATTAACAGCCTCACTACTAATTTCAGGTTGTGAGAAAACATCCTGTTCCAGTATCACACTTTCAAGGGGTTCTGTAGTACACACCTGCCTAACTAAGACAGGTTTCTTCTGTTTATTCACTTCATTAGCTCTTGAACTCAGTTGTTCCGATGGTCTAACATCAGTCGTGCAAACAGCTCCATTTTCATCTTTAGCTCGCTTTTGGTGCTTTTCCATGGCAATGTCTAAACTGTTTGCTGGGGAAAGCATCCTTTTACTTGAAGCTGAAGATTCCTGTTGAGGGGAAAGTCTACCAACAGACATTTTCTGAGTTATAGGCAAGGATTCCAGCAGGGACGGCTTTTGGCACAGCTCTGAAAAAACTTTTTCACAATCAAGTTCTTTCTCTGGGTTTGGCAAAATGTTCTGGTGATCTTTTTGCAATTTTGGCACAGAATTTTGTTCTTCACTGATTGGCACTACAGTATTATTAGCCTGGTAAACTGGTTGATTTGATAGATCCTGGGTCACTAGAATTTGTGGCAGAGATGTGACTGAAGGGAAGGAGTAGGCTGGTACATTACTCTGAAGACGCACGGGTACCGTGAATGATGATGAAGCTTTCTGTACCTGACCAGCGAGTGGCCCGAGCTTTGGTGGCGGCAGAGCACATGAATCAGACATATTATCTACCAATTTGGTTGGTAATACTAATGAAGTCACACAATGGTCTGCACCTGCTGGATCTGAAAGAACTTGGTTTGGCAAAGGATGTACAGGATTAGAAGAATGAGACTGGCTTGAAGTTAAAACCTGAAACTGAAGTTGGTACTTGGGAGCAAAGCAATCCTCACTTTTAGAAAATGTACACAAGGTGGGACTCTTATCTGGTTTGTCAGTCTGTGTAGCCATTTTCAGAGACATCTGTGCATTATGGTGGTTAGGAAATGCATGGATTTGATTTAACAAATTGAGATCAAAAAGCTGTTGAACAGGAAAAACATTAGTGGAGTTGGGCTTTGAAGTTTCTGCTTGCAGATCCTTAACTTTGGTCTGGGGATGCAAAGCATTTGCAGGAAACTCAACTAATGATGTATTAGTGATCTGAGGCCCCTGGAATGGAACTGGATTCACCATTGGAGGACCAATAGTTGGGAAGGACGATGGGTTCCCAGCAGGCACATGACTATCTGGAGCTATATTTAAAGATATCTGCCGTATCAGTGGGCCTCTTCTTCTCTCTAAGAGTGGCACATGCCTGGTAACGCCCATGCCAGAGGGGGATGTTGGAGGTTGCAGATCAATCGCTTGGGATGGAGTTATGCTTCCACAGTTGAATGACTTGCTTCTGAAATCAGAGACCTCCATCGATGTCTGAATGCAATTAATCTGTTCTGATGCTGCTCGTCGCATTTCTTGGTGAGCTCCAGGAACATTAAGTGTATTTGAGCCTGCTGGAATCACCAGAAATTCTGCTTTATTTGGAATATCGATTTTGAAAGAAGACTCAGTTTTAGAAATGTCCTCTATGTCCAGCGAAGCAGAGAAACTTGAAGTATGTGATAAACTACTCTCTCGACTTAGACTCCTGGACAGAGTGGAATCAAAACTTGACTCTGTTGAGGAATGCTCAATCTCAGCCAGACGAAGCCTTTTCTTTTTTGGTGGCAGTTTCTCTGTTGGCAATTTGGACAAGGTTTCACTACGCTGAGGCCAACTGAACTTTTCTGATTTTTCCTGATCATAGCCTTGGGCTTCAGGGTCCCGATCTGGCTCTTCTGTAACCAGAATTTCTGGGACTTGGATGTTGTGCTGTCGGACGAGTCTTGAGGGCTGTCCTAACACATTTCTTTCACTTGAAATCTTTCTTGAACTTTCTGGAAGTTCTCTAAGAGTATCTGATAATGGAGGCTGGTGAGGATAAGAGGTGTTCCTAGAAGGGTGGCCTTCCTCTTGAGAAATTCCCACTGCTTTCAGAGACCCAGCTTTCACCATCCTAGTCAGCTCCTGGAAGGAAACCGGGGAAACTCTTTCAAAAGACTCAAGCTTGTCAAATGAATTGGGTCTGCTCAGTGCATTTGTATGTTGTATGACTGAGATTCCAGTTCCATGTCTTTTCAACTCTATCTTTTCCTGGGCAGCTGAACTTATCTGTTGTTCCACAATGGTTGCCAGCTTTGGATCAATGGTCTGATCGGTTCCTCTGGCAACAAGCTGAATTTGTGAGTTTTGCAACTGGGTATTTCTCTGCTGTTGGTCACTTGCTATGGCAACATTAAGTTTGGACAAAATGGAAGTAGAGCCTACAGTATTCTGAAGCTGAAGACCTTCTGAGCTCTTTGGAGATGCTCCACTTTCATTCTGCTGAAGCTCATCATCATCACCAACACTTTTCATTTTCCTCCTTTTTCTTATCTGGGGTGTCTGTTCCCAGACACCTGTGGAAGCAGCTACTCTGTAGTGCAGAATCTGAGGGTGTGTACTACTGGGCATGGTACTATGTTCTGGTTCTCTTATAGCCACCTTTGTTTTTGGTCCATGTAACTCTGAACAGTAAAATTTCTTATGGTTTTCAAAATTTTCCAGTTTTCGATACCTATTTCTACAGGTTTCACATTCAAACATTGTTCCTCGCCCTTGATGAGATTTCTTTTTCTCTAAATTTGATCCTTGCGCAAGTGCCTTGTTCCTTGCTGATACAGTTTCACCAGAGGTATTACATCCTTGATGGTTTTCATCCACAGACTGCCCAGTACAAAGAACATGATTTTCATTTGTTGAAGAGTCTTCTATTGCTGCTTGTCTGACAAGCGTACGGGGATGTCCACTTTGTGGCACGGAAGTGTTGGGTCCTGATACAAAGACATCATCATAGAAAGAGCCAATTTTGTCATCAAATGACTGACTTCCTCGTAGTGGATGAGGGGGAGGTATTATATTTGCAGGTACTGCTGAATAACCTGTGGTAGGCATAGAATTACTTCTAGTAATGGGTAAACAGTCAAGGGAAGGTACAGACAAAAGGAAAACTTGTTTCGATTTCTCAGTTGGGGTAAAAGGGGACTTTGGTATATCTGAGCTTGAGCTTGTCCTCCGTCCCATTGGCTTTAAATCAAACTGGAAAGAGTCTTTAAATATATATGATTTGGGAGAATCGATACTTCCTCGTCTTGAGAGAGACGTTCTACGTGGCTTTACACTATCCAGTTGCTTATCATCAACCAGGGCTTCATTGTCTGAGATAAGCTTTGATATCCGTTCTTCAAGGGTTTTTGTTGCCAAAGGTGGGCGCATCTGGCCTGGTAAAAGCAATGCTTTTGCACCTGTTGGTAAAGCAGGAGGAGCTGGTATATTGCTACGAGATGCAGAGGGTCCATTATTCTTATTTGAGTCTTGTTCTGTGGTGGGTAAAGTTCTGGCAAAGGGAGTCGGTGGACTCACTGCTTGATCAGCACTTTCAGAACGTGAGAAGTAACCAGAATCTGTACTTCCTAAACTTCGAGGACTCAGAAGTTTTCCTTGCTGCTCTTGGGAGTAATCAGTAGCCTGCTGCCTTTGTAGTTGGGCATGTACTGTTCCTATGTGAGATTCTTGTTTTCGTTCTGAGTGACTCATGTCCCTTTTCTGAGGGGACTTTGCATCTGTCTCTAAGGAGGGCACGTATGCTGAATTTGACAATAGCTTTGTTATAGGGAGGTCCCTCTGCTTCTGTGCACCGGAAAGTTCAGGCATGGACTCTGTTGCCTTTGGACTATCAGTTCTTACAGAGGTCACATTGACAGGATGGACTACAACTTTTGGTAATTCAGTCAGAGTTTGTGATTCAGGAGACATTTCCTGTCGTGAAAAGTCACCTTCTACATGATCTGCATTACTTGAAATGGAACTTGATTTTGATGAGGCTTCAGGATGGGATACAATTTTCATCATTTGTACAGACTGCAGTTCCATGGGGCCCGGGTCATCGTGTTTTTCATCAGTTGTGCCCTCATCGTCACTCTCACCACTATCTTCTATGTCTGAGTGGACACTAAGTGCTTTAGGGGACTCATGTGATACAAACAAACCACTTGAATCTGGCTGTAAGACAAGCCCCAGTTTGATAGTATGTGCATGGGACTTTTTGTGCTTATATAGATTACTTTTAGTCTTAAATGAAAATCCACAAGTCACACAGGGATAGGGTCGCTCTCCTGTATGGGAGCGGATATGCTTTAAAAGCACGCTAGGTTTTGCACAAGCTCTATTGCAATACTCACAAATATATTTTCCTTGCTTTTTTGGCTTCTGATCTTTCAGAAGAAGATTGCACATTTGCTCTATGCTGTGATTAACAACAGAGGTGACAGGAGTTGAATTATAAACTGGTGTGGAGGGGGACTGTGTGGACTTTGTTGGACTTAATGATATAGGTGGAGCAGAATCCATTTGCTGGTTTTGTGGGATAACCTGAGTTCTACTGGAAAGTGAAGTTAGACTTAATGATGATGGAACTGCTATACTATAAACTTGTTCAAGTTTGGTGTTCTCATGAGAATGCAGATTGGTCAGTGATCTTGTGAAACCTGGACACCCTGGAAGCTGTTGACTGGCTTGGGTAGATTTAGAAACAAAATGTTCATGTGGGTTATATGAATGAGACACTGACTGCACTGCTGCTTGCTCGTTCTTCTCAGTGGCAGACACATGCACTGTGTATGAGGTACAAGGAGAGGACTGCAACTCAGTAACAAATTCTTGTGAAGTCTGACTAGGAGCATCCACTGGACTGTTTTTTAATTTAGTGGGTGAATGTACAGTTTTATTTGGTCTCAGTTTTTCTATCTTAATTGCACAAGATGAGCCCTTTTGTGACAAGGTGCTCAGTTCTGGCTCCATTGCTTTCAATAAGACATCAAATGCGGTATTGGTATATGAGGAGGAAGTAGTACTACAATTAGAAGAGATACATTCACTATTGTCAGTCCTGCTTTTACATGACAAAGAATTAAAGTCACATTTTTCATCTAGGAAGTTTAACTTGGTGGCAGCGGCACCTTCTGACCTCCATCTGCGCAGTTCAGATGGATGCTGCACAAACAAGGGCTTCTTTGGGGAGATGAGTTCTTCAGATTTAGAGGCTTCAGCAATTATTCCTGGTGTTTCTCCATTTTGTTTAGAAAACTGCTTCCCATTTTTTACAGGAATATGGTTCCGTTTCTTGTGAGACTCGGAAGCACTCTGAAGAGCAGTGAAAGATGATTCTTCTGTATTTTGTTTATGTTTTGCCTGAAGAGGATTCCTCAGTGGAGATTTAGGTATTTTTTTCAGGTGATTCTCAGTTACAATCTTTTTCCGTTTCACACCTTTAAGTGATTCTGAAGTTCCTTTAATACCAGCCTCTAAGACTTCTGTTAAAAGACAGAGAGAAAAAATTTATTGGCAAAACTGCATATATACCAACTACAATTTTTGAAAAATTAAGATGACTAAAATGAGGGTATTACAACAATTGAAGAAGGTATTTAAGGAAAGCCTATTTTAATAAAACTGTGATCTAACATTCTGATAATCTTAAGAATGTTGCTAATCAAAATCTATTGGTCCAATCATGCAGAAACCTCACTGAGCATTATTTCTAGAATGCTGTGTTCCTCTCCTGACCCCTATTTCACCACAGTCCTGGAACCAGACTTTTTCCAAGCTAAATCATGCTTCCCCTTTCACTCTCACGCCAAGGACAGTGCCTACACAGTAGTTTGAGAAGGCTGGCCTATAGAGAAGGAAATTAAACCTTATAATGCTACCTATTTGATCATCTTATTACATTAAAAGTAAGGAACTCTGGTGGCATAGTGGGTAAGGCATTCGGCTACTAACCAGAAGGTCAGCAGTTCAAACCCACCAGCTGTTTCATGGGGGGAATATAAGGCGATCTACTTCCGTAAAGATGCACACCTTGGAAATCTAATGCAGGTTGCTATGAATCAGGATCAACTCAATGGTAGTGGGGGTATCACATTAAGTATCTTTTAAAAAAATCTTCTCAGCAATTTCTTCAATTAAGCATCTACAATATGCAGTGCTTATATTCTCAAGAGAAAAAAGTGCTACAATGAAATAATATTTAGATGATTTGTGATATATTAGTCTGTCGAAACAGTAAGTACTGCTAACCTAGCAATTCTATCAGTGAGAGCAGAAAAATAGGACAAATGGCTCACTTAGTTGTGGTTCTTCCCATCAAAATTAAGAAGTCATAATGTTCCTTGGTTAAGAAGAAAAGACTATTTTAACTTAACAGAATATTCAAGGTTTTGTTGCTCTGTTACCAGTGATAGGTAGGTAGGTGGTAGGTAGGTAGATAGATAGATAGATAGATAAAAAATTATTGCAGGAGACAAAAGATGAAACATCTCCATTCCTGGCTGTGTTAGTAATAAATAAACATTTTAATGGCATAAGTCCCACACAATCTCCATCAACTATTAAATTTTTGAGCAATAATTACCTATCATAATTTGGTTCATTTTCATTCACTGGGTCCTTGGACATATTAACAAAAATTACTTATTATAAATGATAGCTTATATCATTTATTTGGAAACTAGAAAAGCCAAATATTTTAATTCTCTATCATTTTCAAATAGCACTTGTAATGTACATATTTGAAATCTGTATTAGATCAAAATGTCTACACCATAGTAACTACTGCTCATAAAAATTTACATAAATAAAAAACTCTAGTCATTTTGTGCCATCAGTTTATGTACTGTATTAGTTTAACAACTGCACACACACACGCATACACATACACATACAAACATATTAATCCACTAAAAGTACATTTACCCACTATAATCAGAAAAGGCAGAAAAAGAAATTGGTCTCATGACAAAAATATTTGAGTAAAAAATAATAGCAAAAGAGCATTAGCATTGTTGATACTTTTACAAAATGATCTTGAACAAATCATTTCTTTCTACAATCCACTCATTTATAAACAACATCTGCCCATTGATTTTTCCTCTTCAAGATGAATGTAATAAAGTCAGCAATGACTATATGCTGCTCATTTACTCTATCAGGCAAATGGACAAAATGAAAAATTATTTTTCCCACCTACTTCCTAACTCGGAAGGAAGGTTGGGCAATCCTACTTCCGTAGTGATACTGCCTCGGAAACCCAAGGAGGGGTCGCTATGAGTCAGGGCTGACTCGATGGCACATAACAACAACAACAACAACAACTTCCTAAGAAACCTTAGAGGTGTCTTACAATGAAAGCAAAAGTCATTTGCACACAGAGATGAGAAATGATTTGGAAGAGCAAAAATTCTCAACTGGGTGGGAGTCAGAGCAAAAACACTAGAGATTAAAAAAATACACACACTCATACACCAGGCCATCCAGTATTTACTAAATTAGAGTCTTGGGTTAGGGTGGATATATTTTATCTTGTTATGTTTTACATACTTTATGGAATTAGCTTTTTTAAGATTAAAAGAAAGATATTATTATTTTTTAAAATGAAACAATGCCTGAAGTCCAAAGAAAATGCACATATTCAGCCTATAGGCAGAATACCCAAAAATGCCATATAAACAAATTAAATGGGTGAAAATTTCTGTAGATAAGTTGACTATGTATAAAGGCAGGTGGGAGGAACACTGTGGATGTAGAGATACAGGTGGATGTGGAGATACAGTTTTAAAGAGATCACTCTGCACATCTGACTTAAAAAAATACAATTTAATTTTTTTATATATTAAAGAAAACGAAGTTGAAGTGAAAACAATTTTTTTTAAATAAGCACTAATACTATTTCCTAAAAGTCTCTCTGGATGTAGGAACTTGAAAAGCAAATTTTTAAAATAGTTTTTGAAACACATATTCCATTTGTAGACATAAACTGACTCTTTTTCCAAAATTCGTATCATCTATATTCTATTCACACAGTGGCTTACTCTTAGCTCTTTATTTCTATCATAAGACCTAACTAGTTTTCATACAGCAATCCATCCCTCCCCAAGCTCTGCACTCTCCTCCTTTGTTGTCCACCAGTGCACATTCATATAGAGGAGCCTGCTACACCTTGACTGATTGTTTCCCCTCCTTGAGGTGAGTTGTCTTTTTCTGCCACCTGTATGTCTGAAAATTCTTTATTTTTTAAGTTTAATAACATAACCAGGAGTCAGCTAAGAGTATACCAATGTACACCCTTAAAATTTTTTCCTAAAATAATAATGGCCCTCTCTATAAGCTGTGAGTTATTAGTTTATTTTAGAAAATTTTCCTTTGTCATATCATCAAATATAACTTGTTTCTCTTTATTTCTCTGGGTGGGTTCGTAACTTCAAACACATCAATTATCTTCATGCTAGATTACCCTTATAAAAAGTTAAATTGATTTTATCTTTTTGTCTTCTTCTTTTGCTTTTCTCTATAATTAACCTTAAGCTTTTCCCTTATGTCAATAATTCAGTTTTCAGCCTATTTATTTCCTTATTGTTTCAAATTTGTTTGTGTTGGGCTGATGTTGTTTTATTCTCCTTTTGGTTCCTTACTTCCATATTTCTTATTTCATCTCATTTTCTTGTTTCATGTTATGTTTGAGCTCTAGTTTTAATAAATTTACAATCTTAGTAAATTCTGTGCTTAAAAACACTTCTGGTTCTGAAGTAATGTTTTCTTTGAGGCCAAGGTTTTCTTCTGTTTTTACCATGTTCTGCTTTTCTATTGACTGAGAAAATGAGGAACAACAAGAGGATGATGCTAAGAATACGTTCACAAAAAGATTTTTCTGGTTTATGTTCATTCACCTAAGACTTTGTTGGATCTTCTTTATCGGTGATCACTCCCCTTATTCAAGGGATAATAAAGTCTATTCTATCATGGATGGTTGGGACCCTGAGTATTGGGATCAGTCTCTATATTCAAAGATCTTGTTTGTTTGGGGGTTACAGGTGGATGACAGAAGGGCGAATGGAAAGATGTTAGAGGAATACCCAGAGGATCTTTCTAGAGGTAGAATGGAAGCAAGATGCATGTCTCATTAGTGATTTTCATTTTCCATTCCCTATTTCTCACAATTTGGGTTTGGAATACAAAATTTGGTAGATAAGCCACCTGTTTAGGAATTATTGGTAGAAGCCAGAATGCCCCTTAGAAACAATATGTTATCAAGAGGGATCAGTCCCTGGCTTGGTAAAGGAGAAGGTCAGCGAAAAAGAGGAAGACCCTCAACAAGAAACACGGACACAGTGGCTGCAACAATGGCCTCAAATATAGCAATGACTGTGAGGATGGTGCAGGACCAGTCAGGGTTTCGTTCTGCTGCACACAGGGTCATATGAAGTATAACACCAACTCGACAGCACCTAACAAGAAAGTCACCTTACCTACAGAGAAGAGTTATACAATCATTAAATATTTGTGGCTACATCTACAATATCTGGCATGTAGTTACCATAGGCTAAGAGTTAAAAGGATGTATAGCCCAGAATGTATCAAAGTAGAAGTACATTTAGGGTGCGCAGTGGGCAGAGAACAGCTCCCACAATAATTGTAAAAACAATTTGTTGGCAACAACCAAAAAAACCCAAACTCACTGCCATTGAGTCGAATCTGACTCACAGAGACCCCCCCCCCATGGGTTTCTCAGGCGGTATCTCTACGGAAGTGGTTTGCCCAATCTTCCTTCATAGGAGTGGCTGGTGGGTTTGAACCACCAGCCTTCCGGTTAGCAGTCAAATGCCTTAGGCGCTGAAAACTCAAGAAAATTAGATAAAGTGAAGGAAGGAGAGACAATGAGACACGTCAGCAGCATATATTCTAAGGATGGTGCCTTTGTAATTCACGAGCTCTTACACTAACCTGTGGCACACGTCTACCCCAGGTTTGGTGTAGATTCATTCTCCCACCTCTGCTGCAGAGAAAGCCTCTGATTTATATTTACCACTGTATGCTTCCAGATCTCCTGGTTTATTATCAAGACCACAGCTGGACATGCCTGTTGCATAACAGGGATAAAACAGCCCTCTTTCTACAGAGACTATGTACAGCCAGATTGGGAAGGGGAAAAGGGCTCAAAAGGGGAGTCACTCTACTGCAGATGATTACATTCTCTAACTGGACTGTGTACTACTGGAAATGGCTGAAAATCAGGCAGAACTTTAGACGCTTCAGCAGGTAAGAAATACAAACAGAAACTGATTTAAAGGATACCATAATCACACTTTTGAGATGGGCCAAAAATGAGTATTACCACCAACAGAATTGTTGACTTGTTGAACTATATATAAGAAAAGCCAGAGTTCTCCGTCAGATGGGCAGTCAAGTATATATCAGAAAGATCACAAAAGACACTTAACTGGAGGAAATTGAATGGTTGGGGAAATACAAGCTGAATTTCCTAGGTTCTATGTACCTAAGGTACTGTTGTTGTTGTTGTTGTTATGTGCTGTGGAGTCAGACCCGACTCATAGCGACTCTTCCTTGGGTTTCCGAGGCAGTATCACTGCGGAAGTAAACTAGTCATGCTATTTTATAAGATTCAAGCCTAATGATTAGGGCTTTTGAAAAAGCACCAACGGGTCTAGAATATCACTATCAACCAAAGAGTACCAGAATGAAAACAAGCAAGTTTCTTTCCTCAGAGAACATTTGACTTGCTAGATAGGTTATGGTAACGAAGTCTCAAGGTAAGTTATAAGTATGTTGTTGTTATTGTTATGTGTCGACCCCTCCTTGGGTTTCCGAGATGGTATCATTACAGAAGTAGATTGCCCAACCTTCCTTCCGAGGAGTAGCTGGTGGGTTTCAACCACTAGACTTCTGGTTAGCAGTCAAGTGCCTTAGGCACTACACCACCAGAGCTCCTAGCTATAAGTACAGTAAACTATAACCTAAAAGTGTGTTTAAAATCTTACACTGATTTTTGTGTTCCCCCCAAATTTACAGAAAGACACATCAGTGTGAAAAAGTTTAGCTTTCTTTTGGGGCCTTGGGAACACAAGGCACTACCTGTTTTCTAACAACTGAGAGCATGGGGATCAGATAGTGATAAGAGGTCTCTCTCGTTAGGTGCCATAGAGTTGATTCCGACTCATAGCAACCCTATGTACAACAGAAAAAAATGCTGCCCCAGTCCTGCACCATCCTCACAATCCTTGCTGTGCTTGAGCCACTGTATCAATCCATCTTACTGAAGATCTTTCTCCTTTTCTCTGACCCTCCACCTTGCCAAGCATGATATTCTTCTCACTTCTGAACACATGATCAAAGTAGGTAAGACAAAGCCTGCCCATTCTCATTTCTAAGGAGTATTCTATGGACAGATTTGTGTGTTGTGGCAGTTCATAGTTTTTTCAATATTCTTCATCAACACCACAGTTCAAAGTCATCAATTCTTCTTCAGTCTTCTTTATTCATTCCAGTTTTCACGTGCAAATGAGGCAACTGAAAATACCACGGCTTAGGTAAGGTGTACCTTATTCTTCAAAGTAACATTTGTACTTCAACACTTTAAAGAAGTCTTTTGGAGCAGATTTGCCTAGAGCAAATAAAAAATGTCTGCTTTCTTGATTGCTGCTTCCATGAGTGTTGATTGTGGATTCATGTAAAATGACATCTTTGACTTCATTTTTTTCTCCATTTATCATGATGTTGCTTACTAGTCCAGTTGTGAGGATTTTTGTTTTCTTTATAGTGGGGTATAATCCATACTGAAGACTGTAGTCTTTGATTTTCATCACAAAGTGCTTCAAGTCATCTTCACTTTCAGCAAGCATGGTTGTATCATCTGCATATCATAGATTTTTAATGAGTCTTCCTCCAATATTGATATTGCTTTCCTCTTCATATAGTCCAGTTTCTCAGATTATCTGTTCAGCATACAGATTGAGTAAGTATGGTGAAAGGATACAACTCTGAGGCACATTTTTCCTGATTTTAAACCATTCAGTATTTATTCCTTTCTTCTGTTCAAATGGCAGTCATTTGGACTATGTACAGGTTCCTCCTGAGCATAATTAAGTGTTCTGGAATTCCCATTCTTCTCAATGTTATCCATAATTTGTCATGATAAACACAATCAAATGCTTTTGCACAGTCAATAAAAAACAAGTAAACATCTTTCTGGTATTCTTTGCTTCCAGCCAAGATCCATCGGACATCAACAATATCCCCCTCATTTCACGCCCTCTTCTGAATCCAGCTTGCATTTCTGTAAGTTCTGGGTCAATATACCACTGCAATTGTTTTTGAATTATCTTAGATGATTTAAATCAAGAAATCCTGAGAAAGATCTGCCAAAGAGTCTGCTGAGGTGTTCTGTCTGTATTTGGGAGAACATACTAGGTTGGGAGGGAAAGAAATCATTTTTACTTTCCATTCCACCAAACTGAAAACTAAGTGTGTGTGTGTGTGTGTGTGCGCGCGCGTGTGTTTGTGTAGAATTCTAAATGAAAGCTAGAAATGCAGAACTAGAAATTTCAGTAAGAAAATGTTTAGGCTAATTGTGGCACAGGCACTTAACATATCGTTGCACAAGCATTTAAAATAATTACAAAGATTACATAGCAATATGAAAATGATGATATAATAAATATATAAGCATATTCTTTCCTTTCCCTCGGGATAGATCTGGGCTGGAGACATAGAGCTGAGATCTATGTGATAAGCTGTTTTTGTAAAAGTACAAATGATAATCAGAGAGAATGCTGATGAGAGGGAAACCAAACCAAAGCAGTTACCTATTCTGACTCAAGGCAGCCCCACGTGTGTCAGTGTAGAACTGTGCATAGAGGTTTTCCAAGGTTGTAACCTTTCAGAAGCATATTACCAGGGCTTTTTTGCTACTGTGCCTCTGAGTAGGTTTGTACCACCAATCTTTCAGTTAGTAGTCGAGTGCTGCAGTGTAACGAGTTACATGGTATGGCTTTTCTATAGCCATAGTCTTTGTAACTCCCACCATATTACTGGGTGGGACCATGCAAATATATGTCAATTTGGCTAGGCAGCTGGTAGTAGTTATTTCCTATAAGGAGACCGTTAATTAACTCCTTGGTGGAATTTGCTAAGAGCAACTGAGTAGTAGCTGCTTTTAAACTCCTGATTGTTAAAGTCATCCGCCTGGGGTATTTCTGTTGGCATAGCATGGAGTAACCTTCTGCGAAAGTTCGCTCTCTCTCAGGAGTGTGGAACTCTGATGTTGGGATTGGTTAGTTTTGCCACTCTGCCAGGCTTAAAATGAGCTAGAGGCAGAGAAGGATCTCACTCCTGGCTGAGAGAGACACTTGACTGAGGCAACGAGACAAAGCAGTAGGCTTACCTGGCCCACAGAGGCAGAGGCCAAGGGCCAGAGAAGTGTGTCTAAGGACACAGCAGAGGGGAGACTATCTCCTGATCAAAGAATTGTATCCTGAATGTGTTCCTAAACTTGAATTGTAGCTTGTCTCTTCCCTAATAAGTCCCATAATCCATGAGCTCTGTGTGGCCACTGCAGCAAATTATCAAATCCAGCAAAGACGTGGGAGAGTTTGGTGTCAAGGTTGGTAAGAGGATGGGAGGGTGGTAGCATGTCTGCCCTCAGAGGAACAGGCCTTGGGCTGCTGATGGTGATTCCGTCTTCCTCTTGTGTACTTAGAGGAGGTCAGAAGATGCTGCCTCCCTGCCCCGTTAGCAAGTGATTAATTGTTTGCACCACCCAGGGACTCCATGATGTGAGAAGAAGTCCTCCTGATCTATTCACCTCCCTGTCTTCATTCACATCCCCAGTTAGGGCATAAACTCCATAAGACTTTGTCTTTACTATTCATCTGTATACATCTAGCCATTAATATGTGCATCAGAAAATACTCATTAAGGAGAGAATTATTTAAATAACAGAAAACAAGTGACAACTTGAATATCAGGCATTTTATCACATTATAAATTTAAATTAGAACTCTGTATGACCACTTTGAATAATGCTGAGAGATATTTAAATAAAACTCAACATCAATTCCTTATTTTTAATTAAAAAAATAGCTAGATCTGCTTCAGGATGTAGAAACCTGAAATGATTGGTTCTCATCCTAAGACTAAGTCAGATAAACCACAAAAATAACAACTTTTCTCAAGCCAATCGGAAAGTCACAGGACAAGGGGAGGGGTGAAGTGAAGGGAAAATAATAAACATGAGAAAGGGGAAAAAGGAAAACCTAGACATATCCTCAAACTGCTGAAAACTAAACATAAAGAGAAAATCTTGAAGGAAGCCAGAGGGCATAAAAACACATTATATAATACAGAATCAGAGATAGAAAAATTACGTCAGACTTCTGATTAGAAACTATGGAGTAATGTTTTTATACTACTGAAAGAAAAAATAAACTGTTGACCCAGAATTCTATACAAAGCATTAATAGCTTTCCAAAATTAAGACAAAGACTGTTTCCAGAAAAACAAAAGCTGAGGAATTCAGTGCCAGCAGACTTATACTACCAGAAATAATAAAGAAAGCTCTTCGTGCAAAAGGAGCATAACACCAGACTTAAACTAGGACACACACATGTAAATGAAGAATTCTGAAAATGGTACTAAGAAAAGGAAATTTTTAAAAAGGATTTTTAAAAATGTTTGTGTTTTTAATAACTTTAAAAGATAATACAGTATAAAGCTACACTATCTAACATGTTAGTGTGGTATGCAAAATAATGGCCCTGCAAAAATGTCCAAACCCTAATGCTCAGAACCTGTGAACATAATCCCTCACATCTTCTTACAGATGTGATAAGGTTATGAACCTGCAATAGAGATGATCCTAGACTATCATGAGTCCTTAAACTTTGATCAAATGAGCGCTTAATAACAGAGAATCTCTTCCCAGCTAAAGTCAAGGAGACTGAATAGTAGAGGCAGGAGAGAGGTTTGAAGTGTGAGAGGGGTCTCGACCTGCTGCTGCAGGCTGTGAAGACAAAGGAAGGGAGTCTCCATCCAAGAAATGCCGGTGACTTCTACAAGCTAG